CACTTGATTTTCGGATTTGCTTTCTTTTTCTATTGCTACTAGTATTGTTAATAACATTCAAATAATCATAATGGCAAAAAACAATAAGATCGATATTAAGAGCATTAGAAAAATCTCAAAAATCAGATGACACGTAGGCTGACTAGTTGGAAAAGAGAGACCCACAGCCACTGAGTCTAAAAGTTCTGAATAAATCAAATTCAGTTTTGTCACTCTAACTTTTGAGTTCCTCACTAAACACACTTCAAGGATGATATTGATCCTGCCGTATTTTCTACTTTTTTTCTATGACTTAGACTCACTCTAAGAACTGTCATATCAGACGCATTACTGGCATTGTCAACTGGTACTTGCTGTCAATTCACTGAACACGCTCTCTGGAACGGGAGCTCAGTAAAACTCATTAGGCAAAAGACATTTATGATCACCCTGAATTCGGATGTGGTGAGGCGTGCGTTGCGATCAGTTCCAATGAGCACCGTGATATTTAGGATGAAACCAGAGTTTGCCCTTCAGCCAGAACGAGGGCGATTTCTCGGTGCAACACTGGCACGTGAAACCATAGGCTGATCAGTCAATAATGTTAAGTATGGACAAGTATCTTAACGCGCCGCAGTCCGGGATCGATCCTGAAATCAATCCGAGCCAGACCTCTCCCATACGTGCTAAAGGTGCATTTTAAGTTTCTTGTTTTTGCCGGTCAGATAGCTTGGTCTGGTTTTGTATCCAAACCAAGCATTTCCTCCAGAGGAAGCTTTCTAGAGTTTCATGTTTCATGCCGACAAATTATCTTGATAATTTATTTAGTTTGTCACCAATAGATAATATAAAATATCTAGTTGTGACTAGGAGTATATTATTAAGTTTATTTTCCCTAGAAGATAAGTATTATCTTATAACTATATTATGGCCATCTCGGAGATGTCCGAAGTGCGTTTTTATATATCTGTTATTTCCATTCCAAAATCGCTCTCTGAATGGGTGAAAGATTTATACTTACTATGGATAGTAGATATTATTCTATTAAACTATTGTTCTTATAAAGATGAAATTTTGTTCTTTAATAGTGGCACAGGCAGAACATACGCAAGTACCAGTCTTGTAGAGACAAAGGAAACCCCCTCCGTGTTAATATAATCGAATGCAAAATTTGCATATGCGTATCGCATATATGCAAGAGGTATTCAACCCACAATGAATAAAGCAAATTACATACATTGTATGTAATTTGCTTTATTTACATACATTGTATGTAAATTTCTGTTTATGTAAATACTTCTAAGAAAGGGGAAATCATCTCAGCATCTGCCCTTTCCGACTCCCTATGTCCGATATCAATTGGTCAGCAATTTTATGCAGAATAAGTGAGATGATATGATATACAATTTACGAAATCTTATGTAGTCTTCATGTTGTTTATAAATACTAATTACGTTCATTGGCTGAAAGCCTTCTTAGATTGTAAATGACGCAGTTATTCTGCATTTATAGATACAGAAACGCACAAAGGTAAATCAGCACAATTACAGTTCCATCCAGCGTAGTCTTTTACATTACAATATTAGGTTATAAGAAAACACTTTGTCGTTGGTGGAAATTTTGTATTGTTCTTATGGCGAATATCCATATCCATACAAAAATGTATAAAGCGTGAAAAAATATGCGCATTCACACAGTCACGCGGCTAGTCATATTAATCATAATTATTTACCTTCATTTCATTCTTACCATTATTTGTTTACTTTCATTTTGAATGATTCATTCGTATGAAGTAATTAATGTGTTATACAAAACAGTTATTCTTTTTAGTAAATAACTGTTATTTATTCAGGTTATATATTTTTCCCCTTTTATGCGTCAATTTCTAAGGTAAGGGAGAAGTATCCCCTGCAATATGCTGTTTTCTTTGAATACGACAAATGCTTTCGTCTTCTTTTAACAACTTTAATATACGGATAAACTATTATGTGTATCAGTAATTTTGTTCGTATGACTTCAGTACTAATTAAATGACTAGGTAATAAGATTGAAAGCAATGCAGTCGGGTAATTTAGGTTAAAGTTTACAAAAGGACCGCACCGACTAGAAAATTTAAGATCATAGCGTTATAGGCAATGAAGAACTGCATTGACTGATATCAAAATTAATTTGCAGAAACCCACCGATTCCAGTTAAACGACGAAAATATATCGCGGTGAATGCCGCGCTGCGGTATGGAAATACGGTGATCGGGAGGGGGTCCGGGGGCGGAGCCCCCGATAGGAATATACGCATAGGCGTAGGAGCCAGGGGGGCTGGGGGGGCTGCAGTCCCTGGTTGAATTCGGGCAATTTTGGGCAGGGGCGCAGATAGGAAAATTCATAGAGGGGGCGAGAAATGAAGATATCCCGACAAAAATGTGACACTAATTTTCATTTTTTATTTTGAACATAAGACCACTAGAACTAAACGAAACAGACAACCAACGTTATTTTTCCGACAAGTGCAGATATTTCCCGACAAAATGGCAGTTTAGCCTTATAGGTTTTTTTTCGCCCCCCCCCCCCCCTCTATCTACGCCACTGGTGGCATTCATTACAAATTTTCTGGCAGGTGAAATTTCTCTTCCTCTTTCACTCGGGCAGAAAATTTGCAGCCCCCCCCTAAATTTTAAATGTCCCTACGCCGATGGATATACGGCGATCGGGTTAGGTTAGGTTAAGTTAGGCTAGGTTTTTATTATTTTCCACTTCATGGAACTTTATTATTGCCGTTTATTAGCGATCTCCTCGATATTCACCCCCCCCCCAAAAAAAAAAAAAAAAGAAAAAAAAGAGAAAAAAAAAAAGGTTCCCCACGGGATTTATTCAAACAGGTTTATGTTATAACCGTAATTTAGATATCTTTAGAATACAAATTACAGAACGTGTTTTCAGTGATCTCCCATCGATTATAGGAATTCTTAACAGAAACAACGAATTGTCTTCTTTTATGATTCTGACATGTAATATGTAATTATATAGTAACGAGCATCAGTAATTCGTGATTCGGACAAATATACGTTTTTTTCTGAAGGTTCGTGTTGAGAAGGGGAATGAAACAGGAAAAGGAAAAGGTGAAGCAGAAATAATACGTAAGTTTTGGGTGCCATTACTGAAAAGAGATTGGGTATCACAGTAGAATCTCAAAGGCAGCGGCATACAATATTTTGCAAATGCAATTACAGGTTCGTCAGTAAATCCTTTTTGTTCAGCTGCAATTCCACAAGATGCAACATCCAGTATACTGTTAATTCTGAAATTAAACAGATCACTAAATGATGGTTATCATCATTATTGCGTATCACTCCCTTTTCTCCCTTTTTTTTCTTCTTCATTTATCCCATTTCTTGATTCTCGTCTTCTCTATCTCACTCGATTCTACACTGACACTTCCCAGAAAATCGCTCCTAACTTCGACGATACCAATTGCTTCGAATTTTTCCCGCAAGACTGACCTCTACTCAGGCCTTTCCTTGACTTTTCTCCAAGGACAGAAATCACGAGGGGTTTCTCATTCTCCTCTTCAACGCCACACACCCCTTCCCCTCACCCAATCCAAGCTATTCCCCTCGTGGACATACAACTTATCTGACATCAATAAAAAAAAAAGAAAAAAAAAAAACATATACAATTGAGAACTTTATCTAGCTTACTTGTCTTTTCCTTTTTTTCTCTCTCCCCCTTTTTATTTACTTTCATTTTCCTTTCTCGGCGGTTAAATCTTTTCATGAGTAAGAAACTATATTTTTTTCATTAATACCTTAACAAAAGAGAGAGTCGATTTGATTTGATGAGATATATTATTGGAGAATGTACATGACCTGCAACAAGGCAGAATAGAATGCCAGAGAATCTATCCAAGCTGTTTGTGCTTTAATTTATGTAGAGAGCGATCATATAAGTTTTACCTGAAGCCTGAAGAGCTATGGCATTACGCTTGCATTATTCTCATGTCATGTGGTCGGTAAAAAAAAATCTTTTATCACTGATCATATCAGAGTAATGTGGCTAGTATAGTCAGTATAGTGACACCATATATATATATATATATATATATATATATATATATATATATATATATATATATATATATATATATTTGGCGAGAGATATTTGTAGTTATCATTTTTTTTTTTTTTTTTTTTATTAACTGCAATGAGCATATATAATCAGTAAAGACAGCTAAGTGCAACTGCTGTTCACTACCTATTTTAATGGCTACTGACTCGGCAGTTGATATTCACAAACTTTCATCAAGATCAGTGTGAGGAGTTAGTACACCAATCCCTGCTGCTCCATGAGAATCAGTGGAGAAACCACTGGAGGTACACCATGAGGGGGTGGAGAATTTCATCTATACAGCTTCTAGTTCTGTTATTGAGGCTATGGATAAATGTGTCAATATGAAGTGCAGTGCAGTAGGCTTAATTTCAGAGATGTTAATTGCATGAATGCTCCATACGTCGAAGCTAAAAGTAGTTTGGGAAGTCTGGGCTTTCCATTCCAAGTTGGATTAGAGTACCGAGATATATTAGAGGTAGGCATGCCCGGGCATCCCTACCTTTTATAATTATCCTCGTTTGACAAAACAAAGAAAATTTTGTGGTTTGGACAGATGCTACAGAAGTCTAATGCTGTGTATTTCTGTTAACTTGGTTAACACGACTGTGACTTGAGGTGATAATAACTTTTTCAGTTATAGGACATCCAAATATAATGCTTATGGTCTTGCCCTGTAAAATTTCAAGGAGTCTGAAAGTAGCATACTAAAAACCGGGCTCCCATAGACGATCATATACATAACAAGAGAAATATACTTCACAACTATGGCTCTACACATGTTACTTTTGTGTGTGTGTGTGTGTGTGTGTGTGTGTGTGTGTGTGTGTGTGTGTGTGTGTGTGTGTGTGTGTGTGTGTGTGTGTGTGTGTGTGTGTGTGTGTGTGTGTGTGTGTGTGTGTCTGTGTGTGTGTCTATTGTTTTTCCTCATTTTCCCCTCTAGTATTATAGCGCAACATTTCTCTTATTTGCAAACGGGCCAATTAGATTCTAATGTGCGTTGCTTATAATGAAATCCGCGAACAAATTGATCCCTAAAGCATTTGTGCCGCAGCCAGCCGTGGAGGGATTTGGATGCTTGACTGTCGATCGGAAGGCCGGTTTCTCTTTGTGAGTCGCGATACAAAGGTCTCGCTTCCTGTCTCGTTACATTCCACGTTTCCGCAGTAAAAACAACATTCACAAACGGAAATCAAAGGGGTAAATGATGTTCCTTAAATAAGATGAAATTCGAGTAACATCCAAAATATAAAAAATATATATATTTATTACACATTATTACATTTTCTACCACGAATGGGAAACAGTCATCAATGAAATATATTACAACTATTTCAGTGCCTTAGATACCTCTATTTTGCGTGCTTCATCTTTGGAAAAATGGCCACAGCTTGCCAGGGTATTATATGAACCGTTTCGCTTTGCTTTTCCAACTGGTGTGCTTCCTTCACCAAGCAAATGCAATGCCCTCTTCATTATTAGGGCGTGAGTATGCTTGCCATCACGTAACCATGACGACGAACAGAGATTAATGTTCCATGACGCCATTGCTAGGCCTCACGCGGTGCTCTCTTCGGGGGAACGGAGCTATTGGGAAAACATATATGGAGTTAATGCATTTATATTTTGGTGTCATTATCAATGCCATTATCATTAGCATGAAGATATTCATTAGCGTTATTTTCCGATCATCATTATTCACCTTATGCTCATTATTATTATTATACTCACTACTATTACTAATAAACCACTACTTCTACTACAATTATTACTAATACTAACACTACTACAAGTTATTATTATCATTATTATTATTATTATGATCATTATCATTACTGGCATTACTATCATTACTATAACTCACATTATTATGATCATTATCATTATTAGTAAGTATTATAGTTATCGTTATTAGTATTAGCATTATCTTTATCATTATCATTATTAGCTTCATTTTATTATCCTGATTTTTATCACACCATTGTCCTAATCATCATCATAAATAAAATCATCATCATTATTATTATTGTTATAATTTTCATTAGTATCATTATCATAATAATCATATTAATCATTATCATTATTAATTATTGTTGTCATTGCCATTATCTTATTATCATTATTATTATCATCATTAGTGGACATCAGTCGATACAGCCTACGAGGATGGCTACGTCTGCACTATACACTTTACTACACTATACGATTTACCCACATATCAATGCCACATTAATATTTAATATTTAACTATGATATAATTCCACTGCTACCTTAACATATAACCAAAATTTATAGTTGCATCAATATATAATCAAATGTCATTTCCAAATTAATATATAATCAAATATAATTTCTAGATGAATATATAATCAAATTTCATTGCCACATCAACATCTAATAAAATAAGATCTCAGTCTACTCGGAGGGCAAGACTCTTTGGGGCGGCCTATGGCATGTAAGATTGATGAAAAAATTGACATGGATAATTAAAAATATCGATTTACTTATCTGAACGTAAAGCCTCTAAATTGGCTGAAAATGCATATTTCATATGTTGTTATATAATAAATTTATATATATATATATACACACACATATATATATATATATATATATATATATATATATATGTGTGTGTGTGTGTGTGTGTGTGTGTGTGTGTGTGTGTGTGTGTGTGTGTGTGTGTGTGAGTTATTTTACTTATAAGCGTCTGCTAGTGTTATTTATCTTATACCTTGTTTTCTTTACTTTTGTTTACTTTATTTGGTCAGTCGTCATTTAGGGGTGAAAAATCACCCCGCCCTTTGCTACGCCACCCGTTGCCAAATGATGTACACTCAAAGAACTGCTAAAAGAAAAGAAAAATAAATCGGCGTCTCCACATCCTACGCAAGCAAAACGCCCTAACCAGGCCTCCTACACTACGAACTCACGAAGGAAATACCCTCCTACAAGCATGCCTCACCCCCCCCCCCCTTACCGTCAACCCGAAGGAGCGGACGACGACGACGGCGCTGCTGTAGGCGAGAGCAAAGATGACACCGGCGATGACGACAGCGGCTGACACGGGGGCGGGGCTGACGAAGAAAGCGGACGCGATGGATGCGATGACCGTCAGCACCACCTGGGCGACTGACACCCACACCCATGCCATTATTGCTTTGTAGTTTTCCTGTCGGTCAAATACAGACAATTTAGAAAAGGAAGATGAAGGAATTAAATAAATCGGTAAACGTGTTTAGTCATGGGGCATCAGGGCGTGGTCACCTTTTAAATGATTGTGAACACGGATGTAAAAGCGACTCGATGTATATTTTATCTGTTTCTGAATTGTTTGTCAAAACACTTTGCTTCCAAGGACAAGTGGGCAGTTCTTTCCGTTATGAAATGTTAGCACACAATACCAGGATACACAGCATGT